GGAGGTGCTGGGTCTGGGGGTGCTGGGTCGGGAGCTGCTGAGCCTGGGGGTGCTGAGCTGGGAGCTGCTGAGCCTGGGGGTGCTGCGTCTGGAGCTGCTGAGCCTGGGGTTTCTCCTGCTGCTGCGTCTCGCCGGGAGCCCCTCTCTCCACAGGAGCTGCGCGAGTGGTTCGCTCGCCGCTGGAGGCGTGCTGCTGAGTCTGGAGGTACTGCTGGAGCTGGAGCTGGAGCTTCTTCGACCGTCGAGGGTGCGGGTGCTGCCGGTCCCGGAGCTGCTGGACCTGCCGGTCCTCCTGGAGCTGGAGCTGCTGAGGGCGTTGGTGCTGAGCCTACTGCTCTTGGTCCTGCCGCTGGAGGTGTGGGTGGCGCTGGTGCTGTCGCTGAGGGTGCTGGTGCTGTCCCTGCTGAGTCTGGAGCTGCCGCGCGGCCTCGGCCCTACTTCGTTCCGCTCCTGCAGCAGGTTCTTGGTCTTTCTCCTCCAATAGAGGGTCCACCGCCTGTCCAGTCGCAGTCCCTGCTGGAGCCTTCCTCTCCCCTGCCTGCTCCCTCTCCTTACACTGGTCCTACTGGAGGTCTTGCTGAGCGTCGTGAACCTGCATCTCGTCCCGCGTCGCCTGTTCGTGCTGCTCGCGCTAGTGGTCGCAGTTCGCGTCAGCGTCCTCCTCCTGTCCCTGGCACGCACCGGATGTCTTTGCGTCCGTCCACTGCTCCTCTGCGTGCCCCTTTGCCTTCTCCTCCTGAGTCCTCTCTTCGTGCGCTTGCCGACCCTAAGTCGGACTCTCTTCGTGCTGCGAGTCCTACTATCACGCGTCTGCTTGCTACTGTCGTCACTGACCCCTCTTTTGAGTCCACTGCTGCGTCTGCTCTAGTCGCTGAGCTCGTCGACTTTGCTACTCGCTGTCGTCTCGACTACGCTGCTAGTCTTGTTGCTGAGTCTGCGTCTGTCTGTCCTCCGTCCGTCGGGGGTGAGTGTGCTCTTGGCACGGACGTCTTAGAGGACAGGCAGGAGGAGTTCCAGTGTCTAGCGGCTGCTTCACCTCATCTCGCGTCTGTACTGCTTGCCCCTGAGGGAGACCCGGATGCACTAGACATCCCGACTCCGCGTTCTTACGCGGAGGCCGTAGAGGGTCCCTACTCCTCTCAGTGGCAGGCAGCTATGGATGCAGAGATGGCTTCCTGGAAGTCCACAGGCACCTACGTTGACGCGGTTCCCCCTCCTGGGGCGAACATCGTCAGTGGCATGTGGATCTTCAGGGTGAAGCGGCCGCCGGGCTCTCCACCTGTCTTCAAGGCACGGTACGTTGCTCGTGGCTTCAGTCAGCGGCAGGGAGTTGACTACTTTCAGACCTTCTCTCCCACCCCGAAGATGACTACTCTTCGGGTGCTGCTGCACATAGCCGCTCAGCGCGACTACGAGCTTCACTCTCTCGACTTCAGCACTGCGTTCTTGCAGGGTAGCCTGCACGAGGAGATCTGGCTTCGCCGTCCACCTGGCTTCACTGGGACTTTCCCTCTTGGCACCCAGTGGAGCCTCCGACGGCCAGTCTATGGTCTCGGCCAGACACCGCGTGAGTGGCACGACACACTGAGGACTACGCTTGCGGCTCTTGGGTTTGCTCCTTCTACTGCTGACCCGTCGCTGTTTCTTCGCACCGACACTTCCCTGCCGCCGTTCTACATCCTCGTGTATGTCGACGACTTGGTCTTTGCCACAGCGGACACTGCTGGACTCGCCTACGTGAAGTCCGAGCTGCTGAAGAGACACACGTGCACAGACCTGGGTGAACTGCGCAGCTACCTTGGCTTGCAGATCACTCGGGACACAACACGCCGCACCATTACCTTGACTCAGTCACACATGGTGCAGCAGGTCCTTCAGCGCTTCGGCTTCACGTACTCCTCGCCTCAGGCCACTCCTCTGCCTACTCGCCACTCACTCTCAGCTCTGCCTTCGGATGAGTCCGTAGAGTCGAGTGGTCCGTATGCAGAGCTTGTTGGCTGCCTCATGTACCTGATGGCCTGCACACGACCTGACCTTGCATACCCTCTGAGCATTCTTGCACGCTATGTTGCTCCTGGGAGACACAGACCAGAGCACATGGCTGCAGCGAAGAGGGTATTGCGCTACTTGTGCAGTACGTCGGGCATGGGGCTAGTGCTTGGAGGGCGGAGTCCAGTGGTCCTTACCGGCCATGCGGACGCTTCTTGGGCTGATGACCAGGCTACGCAGCGGTCGTCACAGGGTTACACCTTCAGCCTTGGTTCCGGCTCTGTCTCGTGGCGGTCTACTCGCTCGTCTTCGGTTCTCGGCTCCAGTTGTGAGGCTGAGATCTACGCCGGGGCCATGGCTGCACAGGAGCTTCGCTGGCTCACCTACCTGCTGACTGACCTTGGAGAGCCGCCTCGTTCTCCTCCAGTGCTGTACGTAGACAACAAGGCCATGCTGGCCTTGTGTCGAGAGCAGCGCTTGGAGCACAGAACGAAGCACATTGCTCTCCGCTACTTCCTTGCTCGTGAGCTGCAGCAGCGTGGTCAGTTGCGACTTGCGTACGTGGCCTCTGAGGCCAACACTGCTGATGTGTTCACCAGACACTCGCGCCTTGTGACCATCAGCGCTTTTGCACCCAGCTGGGTCTTGTGCCTGTCTTGCCTCACTTGCTCTCCTCTTGACTTCTCTTGTACTGTGACATATATATATACCTGCTCTTGCTTGTCTAGTTTTATATATATGTCTGTACTCCTGCATGTGAACTGGCCTCTGGCCCTGCTCTTGTGCTCGGACTGTGTGGTGACTTTGTGATCCACCCTGAGCTTGCTTTGCTTTGCTTGACTGGTCTTGTGACCCCTTGTTCTCCCCCACTTTGCCTATGGGGGTGTGTCAAACATTATATATGTTGTGCTTGTGTAGGCTACAGTGGGTTAGCCTATAGGGGGTACACAATTCTAGGGTTTCCTACTTGTACTCATTTTTCACTGCTAGTTCATTCATTCCTGTTCGCTTATTCTCACAGCGACGAGGCCGCGAGGGCGGCGCGACGTGATGGGGCTGCGAGGGTGGCGCGACGGGGTCGCAAGGGCGACTCGACGAGGCCGCTAGGGAGGTGCGACGCGACGGGGCCACTAAGGCGGCGCGACGGGGTCGTAAGGGCGGCGCGACGGGGTCGTGAGAGGGGAGCGCGACTCGGGCAGAGGCTGAGCGCGCTCCGGGCAGGAAAAAAAAAGCGGTGGGCCCTAGGAACAGTTCCTAAGGGGAACCTGCTCTATACCATGTGAAATTGAACGAGGATAAAAAGACCAAGGGAAAGTTGGGTACAAGTACAAACCCTAGAAAGTTGTACCCCATATGTGCTACCCCACTATAGCCTACAGCAGCTAAGTCATATAAATCTGACAGCGGCAGGGGGCTCCGCGGCAGCTGCTGCAGGGCGGGGCCGCGACTGCTGCAGGGGGCTCCGGGACGAGCAGGGACGGCGCCCAGGGGGCGCTGCGACGAGCAGGGGCGACGAGCGCCGCGATGAGTAGGGGCGGCGTCCAGGGGGTGCCGCGACGAGCGGGGGGGGGGGGGGGGGGGGGGGGCACCGCGCGGGTCCCGCAGGGGCCTTCCGACGAGTAGGAGCGACGCGCGGCTCGGCAGGGCGGTGCGCGGGCTGCAGAGGCAGCGCCCACGGGCTGCAGGGGCGACATGTGGCTCGGCAGGGCGGTGCGCGGGGTGCAGAGTGTGAAAAGTTACTAGGAAGGCTTAGGAGCCATAGCTAGTAGATCGAGTGAGTTGAGTATCGAGCAAGTTGGAGAGGAGAAAGTCGAGAGAAATGGGGGTTTCACTATGGAATGTTGTACAAGATATAGTGAAGGAAAAGGGTGCACCACCTAACATAAAAGCGATATAACTACACTAGGTCTACACTACAGGCAGTTATAGTAATGCATACAATTACATTCTGACACAGAGGCAGCTGCAGAGGCTGCGCCCACAGGCTGTAGGGGCAGGCACAGCTGCAAGGGCAGCACGGTCGCAGGGGCAGGCACGGCTGCAGGGGCAGCACGGTCACAGAGGCAGCACACGGGCTGCAAGAGCAGCGCGGCTGCAGGGGCAGCTAAAAAAAAAAAATTTCCAGTTAGGGCAGGACGGAACGTTCGGTGGGCCCTAGGAACGATTCTGCTCTAATACCATGTTAGAATAATAACGAGGAATGGATGAATTAGCAAGCAGGTAGGTACAAGTATGAAAACCTAAAAGACTTGTACCCCATATTGTCTACCCCACTACAGCCTACAATATAGTTCCGACAGCTTGAGCGCGTTTCGACGTTCCGACACTTCTGCGCTAGTCGACGTGTGGGGTGCAGGAGTTGGTGTGGCATGACCACGGGGGTTAGAAGCCAAATTACGAAGCTGTTGCATTTCAGCTCGCATCTGACGATTTTCCAACGTCAACTGTTTGAGTTGGCGCATGAGATCGGGAAGCGTGTTGCCCATGTTGTGGGGGAGAGCGTGTAACTCTGGCGAAAGAACTATTGGCAAAATAGGCGAAAAAGTTACTGAGTGATAGAAGAGTTAAATGAGAATTAGTTTATCATGGCGAATACAAACAAGGTTGTTTTGCATGCAAGGGAGAATGTCGGAAAGTAGTTCGTGGGACTAGGAATTGGAAGGCAAGAAAACTAGAGTGACACGTGGCACTAGGAAATATAAGAAGATATGGATAAGGGTGAGTTGGAAAGTAATGTTCAGAGTGAACAGTAATTCCCCCCTTAATGGTCTTTATGGTGTAAAAGATTAACTAGTTCTGTTTTAGGGTCTAGCATAACTCGGTATCTCCGTACATTCTATTCCTGGAAATACCTAGACAAGGCATGGTAGCCCTTTCGTCGATTTTGGGCGCTCCATTTTATGTAGAGAAGCGACTCGCACTCAAGCGAATCCCGCACTAGCCAGCCACGATCAATCGAGTCGCAGTTCAGCGAGTCACGCCGCCAGCAGTCGTCGCCGCACGCAGCACGGATGCTCTTTCCTGGCGGGCTCATGCGCGTGGGTGGCCGCCACCTGCGCGGCAGCAAGCTGCTGCCGCTGCTGCAACGCCGCCTCGCGCTCGCCGTGGGGACGAACCGCTTCAGCCACCAGGTGGTGGCGCTGGCGGCGGTGCTGTGCGCGCTGCTGGCGCTGAACGTGCTCTTCTACCTCTTCGGCGGCATCTCCATCGAGTTTGTCACCGACGACCCGCTCCCCGACCTCCCCTCGCTCTGGCGCGGCGACGCGCAGCCGCCCCCGCGCGGGCGGCAGTGCGCGGCGTGGCTGGCGGAGGTGGACCCCACGGGCGCGGGGAGCGAGCAGCGCGACTGGCAGCGCCAGCCCGTGGTGGTGGCGGCGGGGGAGAACAGGCGCGTGCAGGGCTGCGCCGTCGGCTGCCTCTTCACGCGCGCTCCTCGTGAGCCCCTTTAGTCTCTCCACCCATCCTGACCCCTCTTCACCGTCGTGAGCGCTCTTCACCCTTGCATGATGACTCTGAGTTACAACACCGCAAGTTCAGGCAGCTGAAAGAAAATCCGGGCATGGGAACGAAATCCTGGAAAACGCCGAGATGGGGGAGGGGAGCGTTGAGAGAGAGGGGGCGGTGGAGAGAGGAGGATGGGGGGGATGGGGGAGGTTGCGGGACGGAGGGTAGGGGGTGATAATTTCCAGGTTTTTCTTTAAATGCTATATCACAATTACACAGTTGAGATCTATCATCAACTCCAGCATTATAGAATACCCAGCCAGCCTCCTAATTTGGTTGTACCCTCTCCCCTCTCAACTCGCTCCTCTCTCCTCTCCCCTCCTCTTTTCTCTCCTCTCCGCTCTCTTTTCTCTCCTCTCCCCTCTCTTTTCTCTCCTCTCCCCTCTCTTTTCTCTCCTCTCCCCTCTCTTTTCTCTCCTCTCCCTTCTCTTTTCTCTCCTCTCCCCTCTCTTTTCTCTCCTCTCCCCTCTCTTTTCTCTCCTCTCCCCTCTTCCCTCGCCCCTCTCCCTTCGCCCCACTTCAAACTCACCTCTCCCATCGCCCCTCTCCCCCATCCCTCCTCCCCTCCCCCCTCCCTTCTCCCTCTCCTCTCTCCCCTCTCCCCCTTCCCCTCTCCCCTCTCCCCTCTCCCCTCTCCCCTCTCCCCTCGCCCCTTTCCCATCTCCCCTCTCCCCCTTCCCCTCTCCCATCCCCCCTTTCCCCTCTCTCCTCTCCCCCTTTCCCCTCTCCCCTCTCCCCCTCTCCCCTCTCCCCCTTTCCCCTCTCCCCTCTCCCCCTTCCCCTCCCCCCTCTCCCCCCTCCCCCCTCCCCCTCTCCCCTCCCCGCCCAGCGGACCACGACACCTGCAATGCGCCGTGACAAGCAGAGCAGCGGCAGCTCCGATGTGCCCCATTTCAAACTCCACTCTTGCCTCCCCGCCCTCCTTTTTCCTCTACCCCTCGCCACTCAGCAGACCACCGCACATGCGATGCCGCTGTGGTAGCGAGGGAGGGGGGACGGGGTGCCCTGACAAGGAGAGGAGCCTCCTCACCTCCGACCCCATGTGACCCTCTTCAAACTCAGCCTCCCCCCTCCCCTCGCCCCTCCCCTTTCCTCTCCCCTCTCCCCGCTCAGCGGACCATGACGCCTGCGATGCCGCTGTGGTAGCCTCGCCAGCACCAGGAGCAGGGGAGGCGGGCACTGGAGCAGAGGAGGGGGAAGGGGGAGGGTCAGCAGCGCCACCGGGGGTGGCAGAGGAGGGGGCGGCGGCGTGTGGGTACGCGGTGGTGTGGCAGCGCGGGCCCAGGGGCGCCGTGGTGATGCCCAACGCATCTAGAGTGGTGGCCATGACCAGCAGCCTCAGCTCGGATGTCCCCCTTGGTATGTCCCATGTCGTCATGGCCCTTGGTACGTCCCATGTCGTCATGGCCCTTGGTACGTCCCATGTCGTCATGGCCCTTGGTACGTCCCATGTCGTCATGGCCCTTGGTACGTCCCATGTCGTCATGGCCCTTGGTGCGTCCATTTGATTGATACGCCCCCCTTGGTGCGTGCCGTACCATGTGCCCCTTGGTATGCCCCACGTCGTACCATGTGCCCCTTGGTATGTCCCATTTTGTGCCATGTCGTGCCGTGTGCCATGGGTAGGCGCTAATGCTGTGTTGTGCCTGGTGATGCACTGTGTGCTTCTGGCCAGGATGTCATGTAATTTTGACGCATGTGACATGCCATGTGCACGTTGCATGTCAGTGTATCATGACTGCTCACTCAACTCTCCTTGCATGTGCTGCTGTGCGGCATGTCATGGAATGGAATGCAATGGGCTGGCATGGGTTGTTATGGCGTGGCTTGGTATGGCAGCATGGCATGGCATGGCATGGCACGGTATGGCATGGCATGGGCTGTTATGGCATGGCATAGCACGGCATGGCATGGTGTGACATGGCACGACATGGCACGGCATGGCATGACATGGCACGGCATGGTGTGGCATGGCACAACATGGAATGGCACGGCATGGTGTGGCATGGCACGACATGGCACGGCATGGCATGGCATGGCATGGCACGGCACGACACGGCACGACATGGCATGGCATGGCATGGCATGGCATGGCTCGGCATGGCATGGCACGGCACGACATGGCATGGCATGGCACGACATGGCATGCAGGGCAGCCATCATGGAGGGACCATGCGTTTATGGATCCGCCCACTCCCAAGCATGCGTCGCCTGCCATTGTGGCCGTGCTCACCCACCCCTGCTCCAGCCTGCAACTCAAGTCAGCCCCACCACTCCCATTGCACCCCTTTCCTGCCGCTGCCTGCCTGCAGCGTTTCATCTGTTCATCTTCTCTGCCTGCTTCAATGCTGGATGGGTGATGTTACTCTCAAGCATGTGCTCTTCCTTGTTCATCTCCAATCCCCCCTCATTTCCCAATCCCCCCTCATTTCCCAATCATCCCCTCCCGCTCTACCCCCTTTTTTTTCTCTCCTGCCAACCCGTTCAAACGCAACCGCTCCACAAGCCACTCACTTGCCGCCGGCCCTTGCGGCAGCCAGGCTGGACTTCATAGCACAGGTGGAGTGCCAGGGCTTGCCCGTGCAGCTGGTCGACCCCTGCCTGCCCGCCGTCCACCCCGGCCTTCTCCCTTGCAATCCCCCCCTCCCTTCCCTTCCAATCCCCCCCTCCTTTCCATTCCGCCCCTCCCTTGCCATCCGCCCCGCCCTTGCAATCCCCCCGCCACCCAAAGCCAGGCTGGACTTCATAGCACAGGTGGAGCGGCAGGGTGTGGCCGTGCAGGCACTGGGCCCCTGCCTGCCCGCCTCTGACCCCGGCCACACCTCGCCGGCAGTGCTGCAGCGGCGGCTGTGCGACCACCGCTTTGTGCTGCTGTTTGAGGAGCTGGCGCCGCTGCACGTCATGTCGCCACACTTCTGGGCTGCGCTGGCGTGCGGCACCGTGCCCCTCGTGGTGGCCAAGGGCAGCATCGCGCTCTTCTCCCCCGCTGACAACGCCTTCCTGCAGGTGCTTGGTGCTGCACGCATGAACAGTGTTGCAATCCGTGCTGCACTTGCCGCACCCGTGACTTGGTGCCGTCCCTTATCACTCGGTGAAGCGTGTCAATCCTTTCCATTCTTCGTCGCTGCTAGCCAGTCTTTTTTTTTTTGTTTGTTTTTTCTGTTTCTTGCTTCGGAGATGAATGCGAGTTTTACTTTCCTCCCACCCCTCCCTCTCTCCCTCCCTCCCTCCCTCCCTCCCTCCCTCCCTCCCTCCCTCCCTCCCTCCCTCCCTGACACCCCTGCCCACCTATACGGCCGACCAGGTGGGGCGGGGGGACGAGGTGCGGCAGGTGGGGGAGTGGGCGGGGTATCTGCAGCAGTCACAGCGGGCCTACAGCGACATGACGCGCTGGAAGGCCGACGTGCCCTCCGATGCCTTCCTCGCCCTCCTCGACCTCTCCATCGTCCCGCCGCACTGCCGCCTCTGCATCCACCTCGCCACCAAGGTGTGTCCACCTCGCCACCAAGGTATGTCCACGTCGCCACCAAGGTGTGTCCACCTCGCCACCAAGGTGTGTCCACGTCGCCACCAAGGTATGTCCACGTCGCCACCAAGGTGTGTCCACCTTGCAACCAAGGTGTGTCCACGTCGCCACCAAGGTGTGTCCACGTCGCCACCAAGGTGTGTCCACGTCGCCACCAAGGTGTGTCTACGTCGCCACCAAGGTGTGTCCACGTCGCCACCAAGGTGTGTCCACGTCGCCACCAAGGTGTGTCCACGTCGCCACCAAGGTGTGTCCACGTCGCCACCAAGGTGTGTCCACGTCGCCACCAAGGTGTGTCCACATCGCCACCAAGGTGTGTCCACGTCGCCACCAAGGTGTGTCCACGTCGCCACCAAGGTGTGTCCACGTCGCCACCAAGGTGTGTCCACGTCGCCACCAAGGTGTGTCCACGTCGCCACCAAGGTGTGTCCACGTCGCCACCAAGGTATGTCCACGTCGCCACCAAGGTGTGTCCACGTCGCCACCAAGGTGTGTCCACGTCGCCACCAAGGTGTGTCCACCTCGCCACCAAGGTGTGTCCACCTCGCCACCAAGGTGTGTCCACCTCGCCACCAAGGTGTGTCCGTACTTCTTAGGACCCCACATAATCATGAAGTTACGCGTAACGTATATCGCACTCGTACACATGAGCAAAAATTGGCTGGACAAGGAAAAATATGCATCCTTGCATGATTTTTGTTGCAAGCGAACGGAGCTGTTGTGTCAAGGTTCAACTTTGAGCAGCAAAAGTAAAAGATTCCTGCCCTCTAACGTAAACTCATTTTAAGGGAGAGAAAGTAATGTACGACATAAAACGCACATAAACGTACGATCCAACTGATGTCTCTTGCCACACATTGCTGCCATTATCATTCGTTGCCACACGTTGGATGTGGATGTTGTGCACGCGTTATGCCGCCTTTCTGTGAAGGAAACACCGGTCATCCTTCTGTGTTTTTTCCCATTGTGCTGTCTTCCCTGTCGCTCTGCTGTTAGCCATGCAGCCCCAAATGTCTTCTCAAACTCACTGATGTGAACCTGTTTCCTCAATTAATTATTGGCATCGTGGCAATGGCATGGCATTGGGCACATGGCATGGGGCACATGGCATTGGGCACATGGCATTGGGCACATGGCATTGGGCACATGGCATTGGGCACATGGCATTGGGCACATGGCATTGAGCACATGGCATTGAGCACGTGGCTTCCCGCACGTGAATGGCAGCAACTGGTGGCGTGGGATGAGAGCAGCACGCGGAAGGTGTGTCGGTGCTGGGAGGAGGGCACCAACACCACCCTCTACCACCTCTACGTGCGCGAGCGCGGCACCTTCGCCTTCCACTCCCTCTTCCTCAAGTAAGCTCCACCATCCCCACCATCCCCACCATCCCCACTGTCTCCACCATCCCCTCTCGCATGGATCGCCAGTGTCTTTCTCAAGCACACAGCCTTAAGGACCCTCACGGGCACATGAGCATCGTAGCTCATACAGTGAGCGTGCATGCATGCCGGCATTCATCACACACAGAGCGTGCATAGAACCATCTCACATAACCTCGAAGGGGACGACCTCTTTAGCTGGGCATCTCGTATGTGCCCTTCTCCTTCCTTATTGAATGCTCATTCTCCTCTTTCCCTCTTCCCCCCCACCCACCGTTCACTCCCCTCTCCCCCCCACCCGTTCCCCCCCCTCCCCCTTCCCCCTCCGCACTCCCTCCACCCCCGTGCAGGTCATCAGACCTCACCACGGCTCACCTACATGGGTTACAAGCGCTCGCCATCTACCGCCTCTACCACCGTATGGGTCCCCCCCCTTCACCCCCCCACTCCTTCCACCCCCCTCCCCCACCTCCTCCCACCCGCCACCCCTCTGCACAGGTCATCGGAGCTCACCATGGCGCACCTAGTGCGGGCCATCTACCGCCTCTACCACCGCCTCGACTACCGCCCGCTCTGGCACGGCCACCGCCCCGACGCGCTGTCCGCAGGCGGGGCGGCAGCGGTGCGCGTGCTGCGCGTGTACCCGGTGGAGTCATCCCAGGAGATGGTGCTGCAGGGGTCGGGGGCCTTCCGCCGCGACCGCCAGCTGCAAGATTTTGTGGAAGCCACTCCGTGCCCGCGCCTGGAAGTGATCCTCGTGTGATGTGATGCGCAGAAGATGCACTCAAGGGTCTCCAGGTGAACAGCGCAATCACTCATTCGCGCTGGATGTCCTTCACTTTTGGGCAGTCGGTGATGCGCGTCTGTCTGATCAGTTGCGGCTTGCTCCGCAATCGACTGCCTCCTAACGGAGCGTTTGTTGGTGCTACCTTGATTGAAATAAGGATTCTTTGTACCCTTGTTGCAGGTAAAGCAACCCTTGAAGTTCCTTGGAGTCATCGCGATAAGGTTGGTCAAGAGGCTCAAACCCCAGGTACATTGTACGCCAATGGAATGAACGCCCTCACACCAAGGTGTCTGCACAACCAACCACTGGAAAGGCCCCCCCTGGCCTGAAACCAACGCAACAACATCTTTGGCCTGAGACTGACAACCCCTTTGCACTAACAAGTCTCGAGCTTTGTTCCACTGCTAATGAAATACCTGCTGTATGGTTACAATGGCCGCGTTCTGCAGGCATCTCCCTTGGGAGGGAAGTGGGGGGGGCGAAGGGAAATGACGATGGTTCCGAGGCAGTTTCCCCTTCGAACCCCCCCCCCCCCCCCCCCCCCCCCCCCCCCTCTTAGAATAGGAATGCAACGGAATGGGCGAAACTAGAAAGTGTGAGAGTACAAATGTGCAACCCTAACAACTATACTCCCTATTGTGCTACTTAGTGTAGCCTACAAGCATAGAATTATATTTGACACACCCCCATAGGCTAAGTGAGGGGCATCAAAGCAAGCAAGGTGAACAAATGGTTACAAGACCAGTCAAAGCAAGAAACAAGGCAAGCTCAGGGTGGATCTCAAGGACACCACACAAATTCCGAGCGCAAGCAAGCGGCCACAAGGCCAGTTCAAGAGTTCACTAGGATATAAATAGGAAGCACAACAAGTAGAGCAAACAACAAGACTACAGCAACCAAGGGCCTACCTCAACAAGCCCCAACTGCACACAGAACCTGTGGTGATCACCAAGCGCCAAGGCCTTGGTGAAGACGTCTGCAGTGTTGGCCTCTGAGGCCACAAAGTCCAGGCGTGCCTGGCCGCGTCGCTGCAGCTCTCGCAGGAGGAAGTACGTCACGTCAATATGCTTCACTCTGCTCTCCAGTCGAGGCTCTCGACACAGGAGGATCATGGCCTTGTTGTCAGCGTACAAAGTCGGTGCAGAGCGAGGCCGCTCTCCAAGGTCAGCGAGCAAGAACATCAACCAGCGAAGCTCCTGTGCCACCATGGCACCAGCGTAGATCTCTGCCTCTGCACTGGAAGTAGCCACAGACGACGACCGTGTAGACCTCCACGACACAGCACCAGCTCCCAGACTGAAGCAGTAACCCTGAGTCGAGCGCTGAGTCTCCACGTCATCAGCGTAGGAAGAGTCGTAGTGACCAGTCAACACCACTGGCTGAGTCCCTCCAAGCACAAGCCCCATGCCTGATGTAGTCGCCAGGTACTTCGCCACCCTCACAGCAGCTGTCCAGTGGACAGGACGGTGTCTCCTGTTGGGAATATAAACGCATGACTTAGTGCGTTTCTGTAGTATCGAACCTCACCCGATACTGAAGCACAACAAAAGGGGTATGAAGTCGAAAAGGCGCGTACCACATCAAACCGCAATTGGAGGTTGCGAGCTGTAACCGCCTGGAGGTTACGTAACAGCAAGCGACGCTTCAGTGAACAGTAACCGCCTCGATAGTCGAAGCATTACGCGTCTCGATAAACATAACCGCTTCCTGTAATCTATCTTTCCTATATATTCCTGTATGCTCTTTGCTTTAATCAATTACTTGTTCTCACATACCAGTACAAGTACATTCACTCAAGTCTTCCGCTGTGCTACTCTAGCACCTACTAGCCTATTCTCTGCAAAGATCCTAAGGCTGAAATTCTAAGCCCAACATCTCCCAGTCGCAACAAAGCGAGAGAGGATGCTGAGGGGAAAGGCGAGGTCCGGCCGAGTACAAGTCATCAGGTACATGAGGCGGCCCACAAGCTCTGCGTAGGGACCACTGGGCTCAAAGGGCTCGTCAGGAAAGGGGCGAGTGAGTCGGTGGTCAACAGCAAGAGGAGTGGGCTGTGTGGTGGAGAACTGGAAGTCGAACCGCCGAAGGACCTGCTGCACCATGTGTGACTGCGTCAGTGTGATGGTGCGAGCGGCTCTGTCCTTGGTGATCTGCAGACCAAGGTAGCGCTGCAGCTCACCCAGGTCAGTGCACTTGTGTCTCTTCTGCAGTTCGGACTTCACCTCAGCCAGGGCTGCCCTGTCTCCGGTAGCAAACACCAAGTTGTCGACGTAGACAAGGATAAAGAAAGGAGTAGAACCCGCTCGAACAAACAGCGACGGGTCGGCGGATGACGGGCTGAACCCAAGATCACGAAGCGTGGAGCGAAGAGTGTCGTGCCACTCACGGGGCGACTGGCGGAGATCGTAGACTGGTCGCCTCAGGCTCCACTGGGTCCCAGGTGGGAAGGTGTCAATGAAGCCAGGAGGAGGGCACAGCCAGATCTCCTCGTGCAGTCGGCCCTGGAGGAACGAAGTGGAGAAGTCAAGAGAGTGCAGCTCGTAGTCTCTTTTTTTTTTTTTTTTTTTTTTTTTTGGGCTTTAAGGAGATCCCCGAAGGAAACCAACCCCCCGTAGGGAGAAGGCACTTCGGCAAGCAGCATTATGCCGGCTGTGCATTTAGTTGCTAAAACCCCCAAGACGCCAACTCTGAGTCCATAGCCGCTTTCCACTGAGAGGCCCACGCCCCTGACACTGCCTCGCGGTAAGTGCGAGGAGTCGGTATGTCAAGGGCGTCGGGGTCTCCCTCAGGGGAGAGCAGCATGGCACACACAGAGGGAGAAGCGGCTGCCCAGTACTCCAGCTCAGACTCTCTGTCCTCTAGGACGTCACAGCCAAGGGCAAACCCACACCCGACGGACAGAGGACGGGAGGGAGGACATGGCACCACACGGGTGGCGTAGTCAAGGCGGCTGGCGGCAGCAAACTCAGCGACAGCGGCAGTGAGAGCCGAGGCAGACGACGGAGGGAAACGAGAGTCGGTGACAAGAGTGGCGAGGACACGTGCGGCAACAGGACGAACAGCGCGGTAGTAGTCAGAGATAGGAGTGGGGAGGGCTGTGAGAGAGGACGGAGGAGGAGACGGGAGAACGGGCACAGGAGAAGGAGAACGACGACGAGACGAACAATGGAGGGCAGTGTGGAGGTCAGTAACAGGGGACGAGTGACGAGCACGCGGAGCACAACGGGTGATCAAGTCGCGACGGACAGAAGGAGGAGGAGACTGAGGAGGAGGAAAAGTCCAGACCGCCGGACGGTCGTCAGGAGGAGGCAACAGAGGAACAAACACAGGAGGAGACTGGGAGCAGACAGGAGGAGAGGAGGAAAGGCCAAGGGCCCGCAGGCCACTCACAGGCGGGAACAACTGCCGCTCCAGAAGAAGCTGCGGAGGCGGCTGCGGCTGCCGCTGCTGTGGTTGTGGCTGCTGCTGCAGCTGCGGCGGCGGCTGCGGGTGCTGCTGCTGCTGCCTCTGCTGCTCCAGAAGGTCCAGCACCCGCAGCTCCTGCCGCTCCCTCTCCAACCGCTCCTGCTCCTCACACTCACACCGACGGGCAGCCTGGAGACGCGTGTCGTGGCGGTGGGGAGACGGAGTGGACTCCGCAGAACCAGGGTCTCTAGCTCCAGTCTCCTCAAACTCAGCACCCCCAGAACCAACAACTCCAGTGTCAGGACCCCTAACTCCAGCACCCCCAGAACTAGCACCTCCCGCGCTAGCACCTCCAACTCCAGCACCCCCAGCTCCAGCACCCCCAGAGCTAGCGCCACCTGCACCAGTCCCTCCAGCTCCAGCACCCCGCAATCGAGCACCCCTAGACTGCGCACCACCAGCGGCTGCACCTCCAGCTCCAACACCAACCAAGTCCACAGGAACATGTCGCGGAAGTGCCGAAGGCTGCTGAGGGGACTCTGAGGAGGACTACGGGGAGGGAGACGCTACCTGACGCGCGAACGAGGGTAGAGGGGTAGCGTGGGACACACCAGACAGGGCAGGACCAGGGGGGGGAGGGGGTACCGGAGGAGCAGGAGCGGGAGGAGGAGAGGGTGCTAGGAAAAGGGGGGGAGGGGGTACCGAGAGACCTTGACAGGGGTACCGGGTGTAGTAGGACACAGACTCGTCAAAACGGACGTCACGGGAGTCTAGGAACTGGTGGAGGGGCGGGTGGTAAAAGGACCAGTCGGCAGAGTCCACTGGGAAACCAAGGAAGACACAGGGGACGGCGCGTGCCGAGAGCTTGTCCGCAGAGGTGTCGCGAACAAGCGCAAGGCAGCCCCAGACTCGAAAGGCCGACCCAACACCAGGGGAACCAGTCCAAAGACTGGTCGGTGAAGCCTCGAGCCGCGAGACACGCGGCTGGATTTTCAGCTGGTGTGCGGCGTAGCGAACCGCGTGGGGCCACAGAAAATGGGGCGCACAGGCATGGATCATGGACGTGCGGGCGATGTCCATGACCAGGCCTATGCGTCGCTTAGCAACCCCTTTCTGCTGTGGGGACTCTGGCAGCGTCCAGGACTGTGTGATGCCCTGTTCGCCGCAAAATCCGCCGAGAATGCCAGAGCGAAACTCGCCCCCACGGTCGGAGTGGAGACAACTGGCTCAACGACCACGAGTGCCCTCAGTGGCTAGAAGCCACCTGATCAGCGTAGCAGTCACCTCGGACTTCTTCGCAAGAGGGAACACTGTGGTGTACCTGGAGAAGTCCTCGACGACCACCAAAAAGTAACGCTCCCTCCCAGACCCCTGTGTCGGGGCAGGGCCCCAGACGTCCAAGTGGAGAGTCTCAAAGGGAGCAGTGGCCGGACGAAGGGAGGAGGAGTGGGGAGTGGCGCGTAAGCGACCGGCGACGCACGGAGAGCAAGGAGGGGCAAGCGAGGGAGGGAGTGACGGGAAGGTGCGTGGGAGATCTGTGACAAGTCCCTGACTTAGCGTGCCACGAAGGCGAA